ATGTTCTGGCAATGTACAAAGAACTCCAACTTCAGAAATGGGCCCAATTAATATTAAGTGTGTGAAAGTAAAGACTGGTGTCCTCATTAAAATGACAAAAACCCTCATTTCAGAGAGTGGGAAATACATTTCATAAGTAAGGTGCCCTGGTGGCATTAAAGGAGATCACATTCTCTTTTGCTTAGTCACAGGTCCGAACTGAGGAGATGATTATCTGTTCCCACTTGGCTGCAGGTGTCTATCTCTGCTTATCAGCATGCCCTTTCCCCCAAGAGAGAAACAGTGTTTCCTCCTCATTTGCTCAGAGGGAAAATATTTTCACTTTTAAACTGAAGACTGTGCCTCTAACCATGCTCCTGGATCACTGCCCTTTTCTCTTCCATGTTTCTCCACATGAGTTGTAAGACATGAGCATAATTACTGGCCTGCAGTACAAGAAGAAACAAAAGGAGGAAGATGAAATATCACTATTTAGTATTGAGCCGTATGGCTTGCCAGGGGACAAACATGCAAACCAAAGCAAAAATAAGTAGCTATCTATCTGTAGCAGTCACTTGATTTACAGAGTAACCTCTGTGTTATTCAGCGGAACTCCAGCTTGAGATGCTATCCTTGGTACTGACCCAGCAAGCAAATCAAATATTTCTTCCCGTTTGGCAGATAGCTAATGCCCCCTTTGCCATACAGTTTCCTATATACAGTCATCTTCACTTTTAGCATCTTCTTTTGGTGTTGTGACTGTGAGGGATGCTTCCTGTCCAATGACAAGTATCCCAGCTGCTCGGAGAGATGACAAGGATAGATACTATTTAGAGTGCTGGGACTCCAACCCTCTGCTTTCTCTTCAAAGACACAAAAGCTGTATGATTACAGCAAATATTAAAATCGGTAATGAAACCAAACATACAACCAAAGTGTCATGCCAAAAGTTTTTGTAATTTCTTTTTAGAACTAAAATGCAAGATTTAAAACTGCCATATCAGGATAATTGCATGGCCATCCACAGAAAACAAATGTGAATGCTGACAACATGTAATAGGAAGTATTGCCACTCTCTAATTTGGACAATCTGATCACATCAGCCTATATTGGAACCTGATTGTTTTTAGGAAAATCCTAAGGTTGAAAGCATGGAATTAAACCCCACACCCCTTCACCACCAGAAGCAGCTTCCTTTTAGGAATAGGGGGTGCTTTCACACTCAGAATGTGGGTTTCTTCTCTATATTTCATCTTTGTAAAGCACAACTTCTTTCCATTTATAATGTACAGAATGAATCTTGTCTTTGAAATCCCTTTAGAAAACTCTTCTTCCACCACTTATAGCTAATCTTGAAGATTTGATTTCTATGACTTTCTTTTACTTTCTTCTACCCAAAATCCCTCCCCTTAAGTATCTGAAAAAAATTCACATCTTTGATAAGTTGCCTTTTAACATTCTTATATATTTAATATTTATAATATGTAATTTTGATCCATTTTGATGTCTCTTTTCTGGGCTTTATCCTGTGTTAGGAATCAAAAAAATGGAATAAACTACAAATGTTTCCATTACTTTGGACTGTAAACCATAGAAATTAGTGGAACCCCATTTTTTACCATTATCATAAGCCTGGTACAGGGAAGATACTCAGTGTTTGTTGAATGAATGAAAATCCTGATTAAATATTTTGAAATAGCTTTTGTGATTTTTGACCTTGAAAATTTTGCCATACCCATAAATAAAGTTAACCAAGTTTTCCTCATGTGTTTTAGAGTTTTCTAATTAATTTTTAATATTTAAAGCAGTCTTACTACCCATATAAATGTTTCAGTGACAAATATAGATCTCAATACTTGTAATAAATATTAAACTTCTTTTTTTAATTTTTTTAACATCATTAGCTTTTTGTAGGCCAGTTATAAACTTTATATTCCATTTTCAATATACTTGATGTGTATTTTAAAAGGCATTTGCAGAATATTTCTCTTCTTTGAAACATCCTGGTCAATATTCAAGCTAATTTTATAATCTCATAAATATATTAAAACCTTTCATATTAAAAAATTTTTTTAAATAAAGCAGTCTTAGATTTACAACAATATTGAGCAAGAAGTAAAGGGTTTCTAAACACCCTGTTTCCCCCCTCCACACACACAGCTGCCTTACTACTGACATGCTGCAGCACAGAAGTACATTGGTTATAATCATTGAACACATTGTTATCATCCAAATTTGGTAGTTGGCACAAGGGTACACTCTTGGTCTTATACATTCTATGGGTTTGGAAAATGTTTAAAATCTATGTATCTACCATTATAGTATCACACAGAATAGTTTCACTGCTCTAAAAATCCTCTATGATCTGCCTATTCATCTTTTCCTACCCCCCTCAACCCCTTGCAACCAGGTTAGAGGATTTCTTTTTCATCTTTTTACTGATTCCATCGTTTTGCCTTTGCCAGAATGTCATAAGTTATGTAGCCTTTTCAATAGGCTTCTTTCACTTAGTAATAAGTATTTACATTTCCTCCAGGTCTTTTCATGGCCTGATCACTCATTTCTTTTTAGCACTGAATAATATTCCATTTCTGGGTGTACCACAATTTGTTAATCTATTAATCTACTAAAGAACATTGCAGTTGTTTCCAAATTTGGGCAATTAGAAAATTGCCCGAATAAATCTGCTATAAAATCCTTGTGCATATTTTTGTGGGGACATAGGTTTTCAGTTCACTTGGGTAAATACAAAGGACTACATTTGCTGGATTGTATGCTAAGAGTATGTTTAGTTTTATAAGAAATTGCCAAAGTATCTTCCAATATGCCTGAATGAAAGACCAGCGATGACAACAACCAGCAGTGAAAGAGAGGGGTTTTTTTGTTTGTTTTATTTCTTTTTTTAGAGTACATTATTTATTTAAATTCAAGTTAGTTAACATACTGTGTAGTATTAGTTTCAGAAGTAGAACGCAGTATTCATCACTTATATATAACACCCAGTGCTCATCCTAACAAGTGATCTCCTGGAAATAGTTTTTGTTTGCTCCACATCCCGGCCAACACTTGGTGTTGTCATTGTTTTGGGTTTTCACAATTCTAATAGGTGTGTAGTGGTATCTCATTGTTATTTTAATTTGTAATTCCCTAATGATGTATGACATACGACATATGATGATGCTTACTTGCCATTGATATGTCTTTGGCGAAGTGTCTTTTCAGGTCTAATTGCTTGGCATTTATCCTGCATGATGTTACCTGAACTCCCTGGTAATAATTTGGGGAAATTTTCAGCCATTAATGCTTCATATATTGCTTCTGTTCCTTTCTTTCCTTACTTTCAAATATTCTCATTATGTGTATCTTTGGTGGTTGTCCCATAGTTCGTGGATATTTGCTTGGGTTTTTTTTTTTTTTCCAGGCTTTTTTCTCTTTGCTTCTCAGTTTGGGCAGTTTCTATTGTCATATCCTCAAGCTCAGAGATTCTTCAGCCAGGCATGCCCAGTCTTTTAATAAGCCCATACAAGGCATTGTTCACTTCTGTTACAGTATTTTTTTTCTCTCTAGCATTTCTATTTGATTCTTTCTTAGAATTTCCATCTCTCTGTTTACATTATCCATCTGTTCTTGGATGTTATCTACTTTTTCCATTAAATCCCTTAGCATACTAATCATAGTTGTTTTACATTCCTGGTCTGATAATTCCAACATGCATGCTATATCTGACTCTTGTTCTGATCTCTGTTCAGTCTCTTCAAACTGTGTTTTTGTACCTTTTAGTACACCTTGTAATTTTTTGTTGCAATCTGGATAGGATGTACTGGGTGAAAAAAAAACCCTCTAGTAAATAGGACTTCATCAGTGTGGCAGTAAGGTATGGGAAACATTCTCTAGTCCTGTGATTGGGCCTCAGTCTTTCAGTGATCATACAATTCTGGACTCTGAAGTTTACAAGTGTTTATCAGTTTTTTTCTCCTCGCCCCACCTTCGGGCAAGATGGCTGGAGGGGGCTATAATTGTGTATTTCCCTTCTCTAGGTCAATTAGGCTCTGGTAATACCCTAGCAGGTTAGGCTCCCATAAAATAGTTTCTTCTGAAAGCAGGCCTTGTTAAGAAGAACAGAATGCTCTGTATATTTCATAATGGTTTCTTCTTCACCACCCCCCAATGGAAGCACAAGGAGATTTTTCTCCAATATTCATTGCAAGGACTTGGTTGTACTCCCAGAAATAAAAGTCACTAAAGTATTGAGACCTCACTATGACTGGGTGCCTCTGGACTTTTCAAATCTTAGAGTTGCCCACACTAAGCCTCCAGCAATTACAACTACACTTTAGGTTTTCTTGCTTGCCACTGGTTCCTATGGATCTTTCTGCTCATAGGTTTTCAGCCTGGTAAGTTGTGATTCTCTATATTCACCTATCTGTCCAGTTGCAGGGAGAGCAACTGGCCCTATGACTTCACTTCTTTGAAAGATCTAAGGAGAGTTGTTGATCTTTCAGTTTATTCATCTTTTTACTTGTCATTAGGATGGAATGATGACTTGTAAACTCCTTACACACCAGACCAGAAACCAGAAGTCTTATGTCTTAATTTTTACATCTGCCTTTCCTTGGGAGGACAGGCAAGACTACATTTTTAAAAACAACTGCCAGCAAAATTACTGTGTGGACAGTCATCAGTTCAAGACAATTAGCCCTGTACTCTGTTATGAGAGAGCTCTTATCATTTGCTGCCTCTGAAATAAAAGTAACCAATGGTAGCTGGAAACATCATAGTTGTATTTGGGGTGATGAATAAGAAAACATGACGATGACTTCAGTATGTTCTCCTGTGTTCATTTACAAAAATGGTTCTGTGGGCTTTTGTGTCTATCTCTTGCTGCCATGGGCAACTCAAACCTAAGTTGCTTAAGAGCTTTTTTATACATGTCAACTAAAAAATACTAAGTTTTCATGGTACCAAGATGAATCACAAAGGAACGTGGATATATGGTGTTCAACTTTATATTGATTGTTCAGCCTTAGTGTCACAGGCAGAAGCTCTGAAGGAAGAAAATGACAGCCTCCGTTGGCAGCTTGATGCCTATCGGAATGAGGTAGAACTGCTGAAGCAAGAGCAGGGCAAAGCCCACAGAGAAGATGACCCGAACAAGGAGCAGCAACTGAAACTCCTGCAGCAAGCCCTGCAAGGAATGCAACAGGTAAAGGCCCTTGGTTTTCTGAGCTTTTCAGAAGCCCAGCCCAGCCTCACCTGGATGAGAGTCCCTCTCAAGCAAATAGGATAGCAAACCTCTTCTTCTTGACAGCCTATTCTCTGGCATAGCTGAGGAAGGGATCATGGGCTGTGGTTAATGAAATATTCTGGCCAATATAGATGTAGCCGTGGGTTACCACTTTTTCAAAGAATGAAGATTCAGTGAAAAACACTTAACAATAAAACTACAATGAACATAATCTAATCTTTAAGCTTCAGAAAGTACTTTGGGATCTGGACATGGCCTCAGGGTCTTTATGAAGAACCTCACTTACTTAGATATGAAAAGTGCTGGTGAATAAGTATTTACTTGATCCAGTGCTGGACAATACAGCCTTTTAGGAGAAATGGCAGGATTCCTACCCTTGTTTTTTCAGTATCAATGCTTTGGGCACATAACACCAATTTGCTTTTATTTTGTTTTGGTTTGTTTTCACAGCCACTTATGTGAATGAGTTTATCTGCACATTATTCCAAGTATAAAAAGTAAATAGGTGCATCCAACTGTAATTGCATTCAAATACAACATTGTGTAATAGATGCTCAATGTCTAAATGTTTCATGTAGCCATCACCATAGTGACCCTACAATGAAAAAGATATCAACATCTGTTCTCATCATTAAAAAGGAGTAGTATTTCTGAGTAAAGGTACGATCCTCTTCAGTCTTGCCAGACTACCAGCCATTTTCCTTACAATTTAAATTGAGCAATATTTTTTTTAATTGTATACCTTGAAATTATCTAGGGCAAAGCTTATTGCTGGTTGGAAATAACAAATTGTGAACAAGGAGTCTCTTCTGGCAATAAGAGCCTTCTGCTACCACTGTCTTCTGTGTGACAAGCAATATCACATTAATTTTTCACCTTTTCTATTAGCAAAATGTGTGAAGTAATGCTTACCTTCCTTTTACTGTCACTATGGAATTTAATTAGGACATGTAAATTATATCAGAGATCTTTCCACCAAAAAATGCATCTCCTCAGCTAGACTTCAAAGAATTTTGACAATGTACTGTGTCTTTTAGCTCTTCCAGCAGTCTTTTGCAAGCCTCTGAAAAGCAAAACTTTGGAAACATTTTTGTTGTTGTTTTTCCCTCTTACCTTGATTTTGAAACCATTCCACATAAGGACAGTTTTGCTACTTAAATATAAGTTAAAGATGATGAACTCTTTTTTTCATTTCATCACTTCAGAGGCCTCTGAGAAAATTAGGTCTCTACATCCTGACAAATTAATTTCACTCATTTTGATTACTTTTTATTGGAAAACAGCCTTGTAAACAAGATCAAAGTTCTCCCATATTATGCCCAAAGAAGTAGTCTAACATAGTGGTTAAGAGCATGGACTGTGAGGTGGATCCAACCTGGGTTTAAATCTTGACTCTGCCACTTGCTATCTAAATGGCCTTAGGCAAAGCACTGAACCTCTGTAAGTCTCAGGATTATATCATAGGGTTATTTGAGGATCATATGAAGTCACACATATGAAACCCTTTCCACAATGTGTGACACATGTTAGATGCTAAATAAATAGTATTTTTGTCATCATTAGGAATGATGAATCGAGTTCCTTGCCTACTGATATGGAAACAAACATTTGTGAAATGTGGGTTCTTTACTACTTTCCTCACAGAAATTGAACTAGGCTTGGAAAATGGCTATTTGAAAGGCTGCTTTACAACATTAAGTTCTGTGCAGCAATCAAGATACTGTCCACATAGGATTAACTACACCATATCCTTAACCCTGGCTGGAATAGGAAACTTAAGTGACTAGATCAATTGGTTTCTCAGACACTTTCTAAAATATGAACAAATCCAAAGGAAGGTCCTAAGAGCTAGATAAAATACCTTTAAGTGAAAAGTACCTTGATTTTCCCTTTGGTATCTCTATGTGGAGAAATGATTGTGTGGGCTGGGAGGAAGTGAGGCAGGCCAGCCTACTATCTAACTTCAGCCAGGGTTTTTAAATGAAGTGTGACTCCTGAAGACTTGATTGTTTTTGGTTTTTCTTGTAGCATCTACTCAAAGTCCAAGAGGAACATAAAAGGAAAGAAGCTGAGCTTGAAAAAGTCAAAGATGACAAGTTACAGGTGGAAAAAATGTTGGAAAACCTTAAAGAAAAGGTACATCAGTTCTATGTGAACCTGTTCCCTTGCCTTTTTCCCTCCTTTTCAGTGACAGTGAAAAGTGTCTAGTGGGTAATTCTTGAATGAAGGGCTCTGCCTTTAGATGTGAGTCCTTAACATATCTAAGGATTTGGAGAGTATAGTTTTCAATTAATAAAAAGTTAGTCCATCCCTACAATTCCCCCGTCTTTCCATCTTGGAAAAGACCAGAGTGTACACCTCATTCTGGCTTCATCTTACCAAGCAAATAGCAACATAGAAAACTTATGTTACACAGAGTACCTTTAATGAAGCATTTCATTAAAGGAAGAAACACAAGTACAACTAGAACATTGGCATTTCTTTTTTTTTTAATGTTTTTATTTATTTCTGAGAGAGAGAGAGAGCAGGGGAGGGTCAGAGAGAGAGGGAGATACAGAATCTGAAACAGGCTCCAGGCTCTGAGGTGGCTGTCAGCACAGAGCCCGACGCGGGGCTCAAACCCACGAACTGTGAGATCATGACCTGAGCCAAAGTCAGACGCTTAACCGACTGAGCCCCCCAGGCACCCTGAACATTGGCATTTCTTTGCAGACACTCCATCTAGTGTAATAATGAGCAGCTGCAGATGAAATAGCCAAAACCAAAAGGGGAGAAATTGTGTGGAAAGTAAATATAAAGAATATTCTAAAGCTAGATAATAGCAACATGGAAGGGTAAAATGGGACTTTGCAGCAATAAGAATGGCCAATGATGGCCTCTTAGGGAGTATACTAACATCTGGATAGGTTAATGTGTCACAAACTTGAATCCGGTGCCCAGTCTATTTAAGGTGTGTAAAATCTACGGATGGTGTCTCCCAACCATACCTCTCTCTAATCGTCTCTGTGCCTGAATATCCAACCGAAGCTAACCTCTGAAAAGGAAGTCCCATTGGCCATAACTACCTGATTTTACTGTCTCAGAAGGAGATTAGGAGCTTAGACCAAGAACCAGGAATCAACAATGCTACTGTTCCATAAGAGCTAGTGCTTTTTATCTCCTGTGCTCAGCTCAGGAAGATGCAGTGTGTGCAGGCCCTGGGGTGTGTTTGCCCAGCATAGTGACTTCCCCCAGAGTGCCATTAAGAACTGGCGGCCTTGGTGTAGTTGAAACAAATGATTGAAAGTGTTTTCTTCTGGAGGCCATTTGCAATATGCTTTTAATTCTTCCACTTCATAAAACCAGCTCACTTTCCAGTTTTGTGGGTGCTATTAAAGAAACGAGCACATTCCCAGAGAAATTCATTTATCAAGCATTTAATTGAAAAATGCCAATGCTGCTCTGTATAGCAGGAATTTCCTCATCCTTTCCTAGCTCCTAAAATGTGTTTCGGAGCTGCTACATAGCTGTTTTGCTTCTTGTGTAAAATGGAGTGCGTAACCAGAAGACTATAGATAGGCATGATGCTATGCCAATGATATTATGCTTAGAACCATTCTTTAGGATTGGCACAACAAATTAAGGGCATTTCTAGTGTAAAGTCATTTTTAGGACTTTAGTGTAAGCCACTTTCTGCTTTGTAAAGTATTTCATTTAAAGAAGCAAGAGATCAAATGGCATAGAAGAACCTTAACATGTTGTGCCTAAGTCTGTTTTCCATTCTGAACCTGAGTATACCACAAAGTGAAAGCTAAAAAGGAGAAGGAAAGAGATCCAACTGATAATCAGGAAAATGTGAGTCAGAATTTTTTTTTCTGTTACTGTAAGCAAAGCTTCTTTCAGAGAAAGTCATGACAGTTCACTATAAACTGATCTTCTCTGGAAAGCTGATTTGTGACCAAATATTTCACCCTTACAAAATTAGGTTAGGAAGCAAAGCACCATTACATCAGACTGCAAAAATAATTTCAGTTTGAAAGGAAAGCAATAAGTTTTGGTGAGGAGGGATCTCTGGTTTTTGTTTGGGTTTCTTGACAGCAAACCATAGTATGAGTTATTGTCAGTGGTGTGCAGTATAACAGTGTGACTTCTGTCTATCTTACTGCAGAAAGCTAGCTCTTTGAATCTGCCACTAAAATTCAAGGTGATAAGCATCCCTCCAATATACCTTCTAATTTATTAAATGCAAGCTATAATAAAATTGAAGTCAGGTTTCAGTAAGGCTACATTTCTATTCAAGATGGATAAGACTTCTCAGGATGCCTTTACATCTTAAATCAACCCCAGTCTGTTAAACTCTCACACTTAAGAAATGGGTTACTGGATCATTTAATGTTTTAAGGGGGTTAGAAGGAGATGTACAACCCATGGCTTAGAAGTGAGCCAGTATTTTAAATCAAACTTGGCATGATGGTTACTGCCTGGATTGGATTCTAAAGGCCAAAGATTGAGTAGGTCATCAGGAAAGGCTTCCCTTCTGACTACAGCCAGGAAGCCTGTAAATCTGAAAACAACATGTCTTGCAGCATAGACCATTCATTTAATTCAGGAGCAACATCCTAGAAGCTTTGAAGTCATCTTTAAAGAAAACGGAAGGAATACTGTCCACGTGGAGGGCTTGGAGGGGAAGAAATGACAAAGCATTTGAGTCAGCCGTGATCTGCCCCACCCAGGAGCATTTCCCCAGCATTTTCTTTTCTAAGAGCAGTAAGACCGAAGCAGTGATTTTTTTTAATTCCTTCTTCCCAAGGCTCTTCCTTCACATTTATAATATAGAAAAGATGTTCTCAGTGCCCAAAGAGAGAGAAATATCCATGAAAGGTCTGGTGGTATTTTACAAGTTCGATGGCCGGTCATGAGTTTCACCTGAGAATCTCTTACAAAGCATGCCTGCTATGCTCAGAAGGAGAAAACTTTCAACAACAGAGAAGCCACTTGAATAATGATATTTTGATAATGGTCATTTCTTGATGTAAAGTCAGGAATATCTTAACTGATAATGTCCTTTTCACAGAGAAGACAGAGCTGATAATAAGTAGAAGCTCTACTTTTTAGTTCAAAAGCCAACAGCTTACTATCTGAGAGTAGACTGGCTATACTGTAGATTCTCTACTCAGAGATGGGACTTAACCTTTAGCAAAGTGTGGACCTAAAATTAAAAAGAACAGTCCTGGGGCACCTGGGTGGCTCAGTTGGTTAAGTGTCAACTTCGGCTCAGGTCATGATCTCATGGTTCGTGGGTTTGAGCCCCATGTCGGGCTCTGTGCTGACAGCCAGCTCAGAGCCTGGAGCCTGCTTCAGCTGCTTTGTCACCCTCTCTCTCTTACCCTCCCCTAGTCACACTGCCTGTCTCTCTCAGAAATAAATAAAACATTTTTTTAATTATAAAAAAAAAAAGACTAGTCCTTTTAACAGTGGATAGCCTGGCATGAAATCTAAGCTCTACCACTTCCGAGTAATGTGATCTTGAGCAACTTACCAATTTACCTGAGCCTCACTTTCCTCATTTGTAGAATGGAGATAATACATACCTAATAGTGCCTGGCATCTAGTAAACAATAAATGCTTAGGTCTGATTCCCCCAGATTACCTGTTTAGAGTCAAGAATGTTGAAGGCAGGGAAAAAAAAAAAAACCTGGTGAAGATGAATGTCTAAATTTCTCTGTGTTTTGGAGCCATATTAAAAAGTTTTGGAAATCTTTGATGCTTTTGCATAAGTTAATGCTATTTTCTGTTCCATTCAATAATCAAAATTGTACAGTATTGCTTTTGGGGTACTACATTAAGAAGCTCCCTGTTGCATAGTTGAATCCAAGCCTATTACCCAGTAAGGTGAACTAACCCAGGAAGCATATTATTCCCACAGGAAAGCTGTGCTTCTAGACTATGTACATCAAGCCAGGATAGTGACTACCCTCTCGAGAAGACCCTGAACAGCAGTCCTATCAAATCTGAACGTGAAGCACTGCTAGTGGGTAAGGAAGCTAACACACACATCCGATGTATTGGCTATGGTGGAGGGCGGAAGGTTTTACCTAAGATGAATACACACGCCAAGCATTTAAGAAGCATGATAGTGCAGGGATGCAGAATCCTACAGACAACAGGATAAGAATAAGTATAGACTTTGTAAAAATGGTAACAGCCACTCCCAGTCCTCCTCAATCTCCGATGATCACAAGCACATCAAATGCGTGGGTTTAAGCACAAGAGGGGACCTGCTGGAGAAACCGTAGATTTTTTTAAATCTCTATGCAAGGATAGCTGGGCCCCCTCATTCCACTCAGGGTTAAGGTGCAGACTCTCTTTGGCAGAGAGGTTTTCCAAATGAGCCTCCAGAGGCAGTGTAGGCCTCTCTGAAGTTTTCTTTTCCAGGTTACAGGCAGATGACTCCAGAGACTGTCTGTGGAATGTTGGACACTGGTGGGCTCTGATAAGATAAATGCTAGAATTGCTCTCGTTATATAAAATTCATTCATAGAGCCAGGATAAAACAAACGGTCAAAGAATCAGACAGACATGGTTTCCGGTTTGACCCAAATAATTCCTTCCTGAGATTCAGTTCCTCCATCTGCAAAATGGGCATAATAATATTACCTGAAAGGGCAGCTACAGTTATTAAAAGCAATAATTCATCTGAATCACTCGGCACAGTGCACAGCCCATAGGAAGCCCTCAGTAAATGAGAACCACTTTGCACTTACAGCACTCTGCACAGATGCTTGTTCACTAGGTACTCCATTTGAGAACAGTAGAAGATTGAGGTCCTAAAATATTCAGTCATTCCCAAGGGACAGGTACTGGCCATCAACAGATTATCCCAGCTGACTTCTAGGAAGCTGAGCCCCACAGTGGCCCCACCCCAACCTCAGAAGTTCTTCCCACTGATTAGCTTCTGCACATCTTAAAGATTTATCTGCCTTTGTTGGTAATGGATATTGTAGTCAGATTTAACGCTTTGATATGTTAATAAAGATGCACAGGGGGATCTGCCATTGAGTCCTCAAGAAAAGTGACAACTTATTTCCATTTTACAACTCCAAGTTCTTTAACAAATTGGCAAGGCAACAGGGAGACCTGTCAGAGAAGAGCTAGGGGTAGAAGGAAGCCTCTGTGAATGGATAGTTCTAGAAACAAAGATTCTCAAGATAAGCACTTCTTGTTTTATTTTTTAAAGAATGTAGTCTTGGGCTGACAGAAAGGAAAATCTATTTTTTAAATTGGTTCTTTGGATGTGAACTCACAAAAACTGCTTAGTGTTTTGAAACCTATGGAGTTATTTCTCAGCATCAGACAGACAGCCTGTCTTGGCCATAGCACCTAGAATTCCTTTTGAGATGGGCTGTCTTCTTTAGAATTCACGTTTCTCAGATTGAGTCAGGGTATAGTAATTCAATTTACCTCGTCATTTAAGAATAACATAGTGTTATAAGTAATAGCATCCATTTCATTTCAAACAGACTCATCAGCTCCTCCTGGATCCCCCAACCCACCTCCTTGCCTTCTGATATTAGGAATATTTTCACAGAGAACTGATTTTAACTTCAAGCTACAACTCAAACTTGTGATATTCTTTATCAGTCACTCGAAGGCATAGACAAGTGTAGTCTATAAACCAAATAAAATGTAGCTTTTATTTCCTGGCGGTTCTCAGCAAACTCAATTCTGGGTCTATTTAGAGAAATTCAAAAAATTTAAGAAAAGAAATAGTAGGCCTTTGAACAATTTATATCCTACTTGTTGCCAGAGAAAGAAGTATTAGAACAATTAACGTTATGTCCAGAACAATCAAGGCAGTATGGAGAGCTGCCAATCACCCCAGTTATGCTGAATAGAAACTGTGCAGATTCCTGGAAGCTGTAAACTTCTGTAAAAAAAAAAAAAAACATGTGTTACTTTAAGAGATTTAGTGCCCTAAGCACGAACAAAATGCTAGTGACCATTTGAGTGAGTGAAATGTTTGGCTTTTCTTTACAGAGCTTCTCACAGAATAAAACCACATATAATCAGCAGATTCTCTTGTGAGAGGCATGAAGTGAATCAGCCAAAGTACCTGATCTCTGCTTTGACCACAACAGCAAGATATTGTTAACGCATAAGAGGCTCAAGTCCACTTTAAAGACTGTGCAGAAGAACTGCAAAAACCCAGCACAATCTAAATTCATTATAAAATTCCAAATTCATTGTGAAATGGAGAACTCAAATGGTCTTTAGCCATCATGAGTGATGGAAGTGATTCCTTACATGCCAGCTTTTCTACATGTGATATCATGTAGTGAGAGGCAGCATGTGCAGTGTGTTGTTGTGCAGATTAAATGAGTAAAATATATATAAACGTAGAATATTGCCTAGTACATAGTATGTGGTATACGTGAGTTAGCTCTCATCTCAAAGAATATGATGCTCAAGTATAACCTCCATGGTATTGTCGCTATAGGGATTATCTCTACCTTTCTTCATGTCCACCCATTTGGAGCAAGCATTGAATACATCTGTTCCTACTTGCACCGTCTAGATAATAAGGTATGTGGGGTCCTGAAATGGACATGCAGGGGGATGTAGGATATTTTCTTCATGCAGAAGTAAGTCATTCTAATTGCTTTAAGGAAATTTCCCTCACCTATTCTTTCACTGTGATTCAGTGAGAATCACCCTCATGCAAGTAGGGTGACCATCTGCTTCCATTTGCCTGCGACCAAGGGGTTTCCTAGGACTTGGGACTCCCAATGGCAGAAGCAGGAAATACTGGGCAAACCTGAATGAACTGGCCATGCTACTTCCAAGATATATCTTAGAAGAATTTTCCTTCTCTCTTTTAATTTATATATAAGGTAAAAATGAAACAGTATCTCTCACCAGTCAAACTGTTACACTGGGCCATTAGCCATTAGCTAATGTTAATGTTCAGAATAGAAGGTCTTTTTTTTTTTTAATGTTTATTTATTTTTGAGAGAGAGAGAGAGAGAGAGAGAGAATGAGGAAGGGGCAGAGAGAGAGAATCCCAAGCAGGCTCCAAGCTGTCTGCACTGAGCCTGACACAGAACTAAAACTCACGAATATGACCTGATGATCATGATCTGAGCCAAAGTCAGGTGCTTAACCAACTGAGCCATCCAGGCACCCCCAGAATCGAAAGTCTTATTTAAGTCATCACTGTCACCACTGACATTATTTATGTTGAAATAATCAAGACAGGGGTAAAAACAGAACAGATGAAACAGTAAGTCTGCAACACAGACTCAAGTTTTGCTCACAGCTGATCTCATGGGCCATTTCTTTCCCTGGATGCCTTTCTATGGGGGACCTGACAAAGCAGGGGAGCGAGGGTAAGTGTTAGTTCCATAGAAAGTCCAGAACACTTCACAGAAGCAGGAGGGGACTCTTGACCCCTCAGAATAAACTCATGATAATTTTTTTTTCAGAAGTCGCGTTCAGTTAAACCTGCTCATGGATTATATTTAGTATTTCACAGGATCTGGGGCTCTGGAGATGTGCCTTTGGAATGCAGATTCCTGGTAGTTGCATGTCAAAAATGTTAAGCTATTTAAGCATATGTCCTCTTAACAGAGGCACTTGCCCACTTGGGAATCCAGCTATGCTGATGCATCCTCTTCGTGGCATTTGTTTTAGTTCTAGCTAGTGCTCCCCCTCATTTATCTCTGGGAAGTGGTACCATTCTGTAATTAAATAGCTCATTTGGCAGCAAAGGGAGGGACGGAATGTGAGTACTAGGACCCAGTGGTAGGTTGAAGTGGTATGAAATTGAACTATGTGTCAGTAAAAACGATCTGGTCCTTTCTTAAAAATTTGTAAAAATAATGCATGTACATTACATTAAAAATGTAAGCAACATAGAAATGTAGTGAAGGGAAAGTGAAAGTTACCCACAGTCCCACCCCTGAAGGATAACCACTGTTAACAGTTTGGCATATCTTATCTCAGACCAATTTCTATACATATGCTCACCTATATCATATGTATAGATCTATAAACATTATATATTTATGGGTTTGGGAATGGAGAGTCAGCTTTATATGACATACTCTGTAATATGCTAAACCGGCTCCAGTCTCCTAGTAATGGAAAGAAAGCATGACTTCACTCCTACTTTAGGCCCATTTTTTCCTGAGCAGCTTCCTGCCAGAGTAGTGACAACACCTCCCAAAGAGAGCCCGCAGTGATGCTAACATAACTGGGGGCTCCCTTGTTCCAGCTTCAGGAATATTCAGTGTGGCATCAGCTCAGGGTTCCTCTTGGGATCCCGTAGTACTTTCAACTGAGCCCTAGTGCCCAGTTGCACAGTTACGAAGGTAGATAATAATGTCAAGATGACCACCTGAAACAAGTCCTAAAGGAATCAACACATTTTGGTTAATATATTGGGGGTATGTGTGTGAAGTGGAGAGAGAGAGACAATGCACAGAAGTATGAATACAGAGAATTCCTTATTTCTGTCATTCTTCCTTTGTAAAGCAATGCATATATGAAGAAGTCTATTCTGCCTCCCTCCTCTCCCAGAAGGCTTTACAGCCTCAGTAGGCCTGCACATAGCATCACCAGCATGTTCGGCTGTCGTTCAGCTGGCTACAAACTCAAGCCTCTCCGCACAACTGACATCAGCTCTTTTCATTAGAAAGCTGGGTGGCAATCAATCTCAAAAACATCATGCTAAGTGAAAGATACTAGTCACAAAAGACTGTATCCACATTGTATGAATACACATATGTAAAATTCCTAGAAAATTCAAAACCGCTGTAAAAAAAAATCTGAGTCAGGGATTGGGAGTGACAATAGACTGCAAAGGGGCATGAAGGAACTTTCTGTGGGTGATGGAATGTTCTAAAACTGAACCATGGTGATAGTTGCCCAATTGTATAAATTTACTAAAATTCATTAAACTATACACATAAAATAGGTGAATCTGTTGTATGTTAATTATTACCTAAATAAAGAAGTTATGAAGTGCAGAAAACAAAACCTCAGTGGACTCTCTCTGGAACTAACTGCTTTCGAATACAGATCTTCTTTCTGTCCCACAGATCTGCACCAGTGATGTGGAGTGTCTCATGAGCCGACTCCAGCACACCTTCAAGCAGGAAATGACTGGAGTTGGAGCCAGTTTGGAGAAGAGATGGAAATTCTGTGGCTTTGAGGGCTTGAAATTGACCTGAATCCCTTTGCCCTACAACCTGGGATCCTGTAAATACGTGTGTGTTGGACAAGCTTAAAAGTGATTTGTATTGTCAATGGTTTCAAGTGTAAATTGCTTTCAATTTGTCAGTTCATTCCTGGAATATCTTTTGAGATAAAATAAGGATCCTAGAACAGCACCTTGAGCTACAGGCCCTAAAAAGAAATGGACTCAAGCCTCAAGTGCTGTAACTTCCTCCCTTTCTGTCAATTGGTTGTCTTTTTCTATTAGTAGTATTGAAAAAGGCCTGTGGCTAAAGTGTATTTGGGGTGTTTTGGTGTCTGTACTACTGCTGTAGAGTTTGGTATTTTTTTTAAACACTGTTAACTGAAATGTTTTGATGATTTGTATGTGATTTGTGTTTCAAAACTTCTCTTCACATTAATTTGCTACTGTTGAGGGGAATGAGATAGGCATGCCATGGCTGACATTGCCTCTCCGTTCCTCAGTAAGCCAGTAAATGAATAACACAGCATCTTCTAGAAGGTATCTGACCAGGCTCACCTCTTAAAAGACAAAGCATGGTTTGTGGCTTTTTGCAAAATTACTGTGAACCAAAAGTTGACAAATGTTCCAAAGTTATTTTCTCTAATATACCAGATTAAAAAAAAAAAACCTAGATGTATTCACAGAAAGCAGTGTCCAGTATGACTGGCATGTGTATATGCTATTCAGAATCACCTTGAAAATAGTCTGCTTTTAAAGGAGGGCATGTTTAGTTTTCTATGAATTAAAACACATGTGTGTACATGTGTACATGCATGTACACACACACATTAGCAGAAGGGATTTCTTTTAATATGCTTTTGCCTCTAGCCTTCTTATAAAGTCTGTTGGTCCCTTTTCTTCTGTTGTCAGTGTGTTGAATTGCAAACTGTGTACTGCTGTAAATACTATGTTTACTTCATGCTGAATGTTTGCAAAGAGTTGATATGAGTCTTAGTAGAAAACTGTTGGTAATGAATGAGCCCGGGTGTGTGAGGCTTCTGGCAAATAGCTCAGCTCCATCCACCTGGAGTGCCAATCTCTGGGGACACCTCCGGTTCTATGGTGTCTGCCAGCAGATTGCAATGGCAGTGTGCACATGGACTGGCCAGGAAGTACTGCTTGATGCAAGCAAGAGGGAAAGGATGAGGATGTGGGACTAATAGCCAGAGACATTTCTTCTGTAGTGCTGTGGGTGCTTATAATAACACAAGCGTGCCCTCCCTTGAGCCTTGGTTCAAAGTTAAAGAATGTACTAAGTAAGCAAAGCCAATGAAGAGTATTTCCAGAAAATACTTTGTAAATGAAATGTCAGTAGTGTTCAAAGTTGTATTTTTAAAAGATAAAATATTCCATTTTTATACGTCAGTTTGGTGTTCTGTTTTGAATTACTTACTCTCTAATCCTTTAGCAAATCATCTCAGTTTCTTCTTTGGACTACCAGTATGTTGAAAGAAGATGCTACACTTTCTGCCTTGACAAGTAGAAATAGGGTCTCACAGTGGCTCATTCATGCTGAAAACTGACTTCCCCCTGAGGCACCCAGCTGTGGCAGGAGCAGGAAGTTAGGGTTATTTTTATACTAGCTTCCTCTGCTGAATCATCTCTGTCACCAACGATACAAAGGCTTTGATTTGTCAATCTCAGGGGTCCTGGAATGCCTTGTTTTAATAATACCTATGAAATCAAGGGAAATTTGGCACTTATCAATTATTTCTTATTTAAGTAAGTTAAGTACAATGAAATTTTCAACAACTATCACACCAAGGCCCCTGGCTGTCCTGCACTTGGTCTACTTGTCCTACAGATGGTCTCTTTGTATTATTCCTACCAATTTATTCCAGGTGTACTCTTCCCAGCTTGAATACATTAGTTGTGATAGTTAAGTTTGTGTGTCAAGTTGGCTCGGCTATAGCGGCCAGTTGCTTGGTCAAACACCAGTCTAGATATTGCTGTGAAGGTATGTTTGAGATATCATTAACGTTTAATGAAGCAAATTATACTCTAGAATGTGGCTGGACCTCATCTAATCCATTAAAGACATTAAGGTCAAACACCAGCCTAGATATTGCTGTGAAGGTATGTTTGAGATATCATTAATGTTTAATGAAGCAGAATATACTCCATAATGTGACTGGACCTCATCTAATCCATTAAAGACATTAAGAGAAAAAACTGAAGTCTTCTGAGGAGAAAGGAGTCGTGCCTCCAGGTAGCCTTTGGATTCACCACTGTAGCATTAACACCTGACAGAGTCTCCAGACTGCTGGCCAGCCCTACAAATTTCAAATTTGCCAGCCCCCACAAACACATGAGCCAATTCCTTAAAATAAATCAATCTCTCTGTCTTTCTCTCTCTCTCTCTGTATACACACACACACACACACACACACACACACACACACACGCATATGCCTCTGTGTGTGTACATCCCACTGGTTCTGTTTCTTTGGAGAGTCCTGGCTACTCTGCTAGTCCAGAGTTTTTAGAATATGTAAAAATAAACTATGTTTTCATTATATTATATAATCATATTGCAGCAATACCATCTCACAATCTTTCCATTCATCATTGAAGCCTATTAATGAGGTTATTTTGCCTTACAAATGCTCAGTGCTCTTTATTCTGTTATTCTGTCTGAATTTTGAAATATTACTGTTTTGTTATTTTTAGGAGATATGATAGGTTTTCCAGATGGCAATGAACAGAATTTTTTTTTTATTTTACAAACAGTTGTTTTATCTCCTCCTTGTCCTGTGACATCTCTAGTTCTGATTTTTTTTAATATTACCCGGTTGCTCCTTAAATGTACTCAATGAAAATGAAATCATTTTCAGAGCAACCTAAACACATATCTGTGTTCAAGTTATACAGAGTTGTCTTCTTAATTGGGCCCAAAACTGTATGTTTTTCACATAATACAGAATAAACTATATTACTTGAAAATACAGCATAGATGTACAAGACCTTTTGACTCACCTGGCAGAACTGGGTAAGCCGTTGGGATTCTTAGTTGTCTTGCACAACTTCTCAAATAGGGTTAGACTCACCTTTCACCACGATCACTATCATCTGCTGAGCACCTATTATCCTATCATTCTGCCTAAAGTCACTTCCTGCCTGTGTGTGTCAAGTTGCATACACACAATGAGAGTTTCAATTTCCTTAATAGGTAAAAGTAAGGAGAAAGAGGGCCTGTCTGAGAGAGTGGTGGTAAGGCGTCAACACAATAGCATCTGCAAATTGCCTGGCCAGTGCCTGGCCCAAAGTGAGTTCACAATAAAGAGTTATCATTAAGATTCAGCCCAAAGTAATTATAAGCTATGACCTGGCTCTCATTTTAAGAAAAATGATTTTGTGTTCACATAGAATTGTGAAGTTATATCATGTTATTGGACCTCAGGAAAGAAACTCAGCTTTTCAAACATATTCCAAATATTTATTCAGGCCCAGGCACTCTGCCAGGCACTGTGACAATACAAAATGAGTATGCCTGGTGCTTGCCCTCAAGGAGCTAGAAGGGTAGCCTTTAACACTGAACTTAAATCCTTCACTCTGTGGCTATGATCAGAAAGGCTCAGCATGAAAAATATTCAGTGTTGACCAACTATGAATAGTGTGACTATGGTGGTAATGATGGCTTCCTCCTGGGAGCTGAATTATTCTTTGTGCCCCCATGCACTCTCCCATCGAGCACCCTCCCATCCAGCCCCTTACCATAAGCCCCACATGGCTCATTCATGTGCTATTTAGAGCACCTGATATACAATTCCTGGTCTTAGAAAATCAAAGGGTTAGAAAACATGACCTCTTTCCTGAAGAGTTTACACTCTGGTGGGGTGCCTGCTAAATGACAAGGTGTTACAGGGGATATTGTTCAATGCTTCACTAATGTTAAGAGGCTTGAAATATAGGGGCCACCTGGGTGGCTCAGTTGGTTAAGAGTCTATCTACAGCTCAGGTCATGATCTCATGGCTCCTGGGTTTGAGCCCTGCATTGGGCTCTGTGCTGACAGCTCGGAGCCTGGAGCCTGCTTCAGATTCTGTGTCTCTGTCCCTTGCTCTTTCTCTCTCTCAAAAGTAAATAAACATTTAATTTTTTTTTTAAAAGAGGCTTGTAATATAGTAAGAAGAGAAAACAGGCTCAAGTTAAATTACTTGCCCAAGGTACATAGCTAGTGTGGGAAAAGGCCTAGGATTTGAACCCAAATCTGCCTGGCTTTAATGTATGCTTTTTCTATTATACCCTGGTGCCCAAGGTCACTTTCCAACAATGCCATTTAACCTCTCTGAGCCTTTGTTTTTCTTCTATAAACTGGAAATCTAAGTGTATTTCCCTGAAACTATCATTCATGAGGTTTTCCTCAATGTCCAGTACCCATTACTAATCCTGCTTGGCAAAATAAGTGTTCAATAAATAGCTATAATTATTATTCAACTAATATTGACATTGGCAATGCTTTGATGACACCAGAGCTACCTTTATAGTGTCAGAAATCCCATAGGGCCACAGAGTAACTTAAGAATGAGACCTGCTGGGGTACAAAACCAATGTGCAGAAACCTGTTGTATTGCTCTACACTAATAATGAAGCAGCAGGAAGAGAAATTAAGAAAACAATCCCATTTATAATTGCAACAAAAATATTAAGATGCCTTGGAATAAACCTAACCAAAGAGGTGAAAGATCTATACTCTGAAAACTATCAAACACTGATGAAAGAAATTGAAAACAACACAAAGAAATGGAAAGACATTCCATGCTCATGGATTGGAAGAATAAATATTGTTAAAATATCCATACTACCCAAAGCAATCTACACATTTGATGCAATCCTTATCAAAATACCAACAGCATTTTTCACAGAACTAGAACAAAATATCCTAAAATTTATATGGAATCACAAAAGGTCCTAAATAGCCAAAACAATTTTTTTTTACAGGCAGAGAGAGAGAGAGAGCATGAGCAGGGGAGGGGCAGAAAGAGAGGGAGAACAGAATCAGAAACAGGCTCTAGGCTCTGAGCTAGCTGTCAGCACAGAGCCCGACGCGGGGCTCGAACCCACGAACCATGAGATCATGACCTAAGCGAAAGTCGGCTGCCCAACCGACTGAGCCACCCAGACGCCCCCAAAACAAATTTTAAAAAGAAAAGCAAAGCTGGAGGTATTACAACTCCAGACTCAAAGGTATATAATAAGGCTGTTATAATCAAGACAGTATGATACTGGCACAAAAATAAAATACAAAATCCAGAAATAAACCCACAGCTATATGGTCAATTAATCTTTGACAAAGCAGAAAAAATATACAATGGGGAAAAAGACAGTGTCTTCAACAAATGGTGTTGGGAAAACTGGACAGCAACATGCAAAAGAATGAAATGGGACCACTTTCTTACACCATACACAAAAATAAACTCAAAATGGATAAAAGACCTAAATGTGAGACCTGAAACCACAAAAACCTAGAAGAATGCACAGGCAGTAAGTTCTCTGACATTGGGCACAGCAATATTTTTCCAATTATGTGTCCTGAGGCAAGGGAAACAAAAGTAAAAATAAGTCATTGGGACTACATCAAAGTAAAAAGCTTCTGCACAGTGAAGGAAACAATCAAGAAAACTAAAGGGCAACCTACAGA